CAAGAGGAAGAAGGCCACAGTGATTTCACAGAGAATAACTAGGCAACACTCAGTTCACTGGATTCCTTCCCCTTAGGACTGTCTCTCCCAAGGAGTAACTGGAAGTTAAGTGAGGTAATCCTAGGTTGTGTATAACATTGACAGGCACCAAGAAGTCAGAGCACCTGCCAACCCTAATAGCCAAATATCGCACCCAGAAAAGTTTGCTAGGAATGATTCCTTGAGGAAGACAGGACCAAACTTGCCAGTGGCCCTTTGCCTTATTTATTTATTCATTTATTTTCAATCCACTGATTTTCAAACTGAATTGAGATAGCTTAGAATAAAAAAATGCAGAATCAATAAAACAATCATTAATAACAGCTAAACATATAATGAGTATAAACTATGTACTACAAACTCCTCTAAGAATTTTACAAGTAATAAGTGTTTTAACCTTCACACCAACCTTTTGAGATAGGTACTCTTTTTACCATCCACATTTCACAAATGGAAAAAGAAAACACAGAGAACTTAATATATTTGCCCACAGTTGGGTACACAGCTAGTAAGTGGTGCAAACCAGGTTTTAAATCTAACAAACATATTCCACTGGAGATGTCAACCACCATGTTATGCTGCATCCCAAAAGCAAGTGTAAAAGAACAAGGGCAAAGCGATATTCCAGGGGTGTTGATAACTGAAGACAAAGACAAGCAAAGTGACCAAAACTGAAAATAAAATTTGATATGAGCTTCCTAGCAACCAATCCTTAAAGAAAAAGGTGAGGAATTAACCTCAGGAGGGTGACCAGCCATCCTCGTTAGCTAGGACTAAGGTCTCCCAGAATGTAGGATTTTCAGTGCAAAAGCTGAGACGGCTGGATGCTCTACTAAAATAGGTTTTATAGTATTTTATTAGGCCTCAGATAATTAAAAATATACAGAATCTTTTTGGTGCTTGCAAACCTACACTGGCTCCTTCAGCTTCTCCTCCCACCAACATTAAAAATACTAAATACTGAATAATTTTCTCAACACTCTGCCTGGGATGTTGAGGGATTGTAGGGATGTATGGGACTAAAGAGAATAATGGAGGGATAGTAGAAAAATGAAGCGCTGTTAATTGTTGGTTTTCAGTCATCACATCTATCACTGCGTTCAAGAATCTGAGTACGCGGGGCACACAAATTCTTCTTAAATTCTGCCCTGTCTACTCCAGCTGTGCTTTAATATTCTTTCCCAAGGTCACATAGGATTGCTTTAAAAAATCTCTTTTAAGATACTGCCATTTGCAAAAGCATAGATGGACCAAATGCTTATGCTAAGTTCACTAAGTTAGACAGTGAAAGACAAATACCATATGATTTCATATATACATGGAATCTAAAAAGCTAAGCAAGAAAATAAACAAACAAACAAACAAAAGGCAAAACAGCCAGAAATATAAAGAATAAACTGGTAGCTGCCAGAGGGGAAAGAGATGAGGGGATGGGCAAAATGGGTGCAGGTGAGCGGGAGATCCAGGCTTCCAGTTATGGAACAAATAAGTCATGGGGATGACAGGTAGAGCACAGGAAATATAGTCAATGGTACTGTAATAGTGTTGTACAGTAACAGATGGTAGCTACACTTGTGGTGAGCACAGTATAAAGGATAGAGTTGTCAATCACTATATACACCTGAAATGAATGTACATTGTGTGTCAACTACACTTCAATTAAAAAAAAAATCTTCCCTATGTCACAGGCAGAGATGCAGGCCAGTGGTTCTTAGAAAGCTTGGTGACAGTCTGGTCAAAACTCACAGGAGAAACCAAACCAAGATAAGTAGTAAAACTCCTGAAACGACTTGAAATGATAGCTCTGAAATCAGTGATGAGCTTCATGGAGAGGGAAAACAAATCTTATGCATTCCCGCTATAGCAACCCCTTGCAAATAAATGTTGTGTTAATAGCAATCTTAATCTCAGTATGTCAGAGCTAAAAAGATCCATAGCTGTCATTTGGTGCAAATGTGTACAGATGAGTAAACTGAGGCATAGAGAAGATAAGTAAATTGCCAAAGGTGGGTCACAAAATTGACGTGAGACTACCTGAATTAAATGAGAAGTGAGGGATTTCTCAATTAAGGCAAAAAACAAACAAACAAACGAACCATAGTTTGTGTGAAAGAAAACAAGGGATCACTTAAGGAGCCAGAATTGGAATTCCAATTCAGGTGATCCACTACAGGTCTTCATGAACCTCAGCTATAAGTGACAAAGGAAAGGAAACATTTTAAGGATCCCATGCAAATTAATGAGCAACTATGAAGTGGAAAAGACAAAATATCTTTGGGGAAAAGAAACAAGCCTCTGCCATGACATGTTGAAAATTTAAGAAAAACTGAAGAAATTTTAGACTAAATATCTTATGGATATTTTCCAGACCATTTAAATTTCTATTTAGACTAAGCCCAATTTTTCTTAAGTTAAAAGAAATATAACATGATCACATTTACTCAAGAGACCTGCATGCTCTGTATGAGCCAGTCACTGTGTTAGGGCACGAAGCAGGGAAAAGTAAAGCAGAGGAAAAGGTGAGTCAGTGGCTTCACAGTACACTCATATCTTCGTACAAACACTAAAAATATTAAGAGAGAACAGAAAAATTCCAATGAAATATCAATCACAAAAACTCATCTCAATGCACAGTCAAATCAATGGATTAGTCAATCAATCCATCAATCAGTATTTCTGAACACCTGTTACCCGCTCTCAATCACTGCTTTTAGGAAACAAATAAGAGAGAGAGAGAGAAAGAGAGAGAGCGGTAATAATGCAGGTGGTACGGGGCTGAAGTAGCAACTACAGGTGTTGTGTTGGGAAGGGGAGGGGACAGTCAGTTTGGACCCGGAGAGATAAAAGAGGTTTTACAGATGCAGAGAGGCCTGAACTGGCTTGAGGCATCTGATGAGCAGAACATAAATGTGAGGGTCTCAGCCGTAAGAAGCAACGAAAGCAATGGCACCAAGAAAGAGAGGTCCAAGGTGTGCTCAGGTGACAGTGAACCAACTTACGTGGCTGGAGCAAAAGGTTCAGGTAGGGACCCCTCAGCAGGTGATAAAAGTGAAAAGGCAAAGCTGGAGCCAGACCGGGGAAGTGCCCTCTAGTCCAAGGTGGGAAGTCCAGTAAAAGGGCTACACATCTACCGGCTACCACTGCAAACCCCACTTCACAAGCAGAAGAAAGTTTCAAAAAAGGTATAATTTGATCCTTAGAATTTCTCATGGGTAAATCTAAGCAGATTAGTTCTAAGATTACATAATTTTTAAAATATCTCTCTGTTCATTCGCTGTTCACCAATAGAATCTTATGGTCACGGATGAGTAAAGACTTAAGGTGATATTCCCTATAAGGCATCTTCCAAGGAATCAGAGGCAAAACATACTTTGTTTTGCCTGAGAGGAAACAGAATCCACAAAGTTCTTTGTGATTCTTTAATACAGAACGTCACACTGGCAGAACCGAGCTAAAGGTATCCTAAGTCCAGCCTGCACAAATTCCATAACATATTTGAAGAAAAAGAAATCATTAGAAGCAGAATAAAAGGAAAATTTGAAATGAACAGATTATTGTTCAGAAAAGCCATTTTAACAAAGGAAAATCTTATTCACCTTAAATACTTTTCCTTAAAATCATATTAAGAATCCTTCATCAGCATGAATATATTCTGATTTAAAGAAAATATAAAATTCTTCAGAAATAGTTTAGCACTAACCATTTCCAAGGATTTCTTTCTCTTTTTCTTCTTCTTTTTTTTCCTTCCAGAAATCCCACCATAGATAATTGAGTGTGGCTCTACAGAATGTACTTGCAAAGTAACATCCTAGTATTTGCACTAATATCCAACTAATCAAGAAAGACCTTTTGTTTGGTCAGTTTTTCTAAATTGTGTGAGTGTGTGTGTGTGAATGCATTCTCTATGTGTGTGTGTGGTGGGGGAGGGGGGTCCTACTAGTTTTTAAGGGCTCCAATAAATCAAATACTAAAAAAATAAAAAATAAAGAGCTTGTGACTTAGACATGCCCCAAGTTCAGTTCTGCCAGGAATGGAAAAAGCAGTCAATGAACAGAGCCCTAACCTTCTTTCTCTCTTGACTATACAATGGTTTTGAAAGAGGTTTACTTTTACTATGAAAGACTCATGTTAAGACACTGGAAGGGTCTAAAAGATAATGTACACCAGGCATTGAATAAACCAGGGAGATGACGGCCTTTGGCCCCTTCTGATGAGAGCCCAGCACATCCTGTAGGAGGGGAAGAGAAACAGGCTGGTGTGTTCCAGGTGCTGCAAAGCTCTTGCCTCTGGGTTTCTCCCACACCCTGTTCCTGAAACAGTTTAAAACTGAAACATGACTTCAGTAGTATTAGGGAGTGAGAGAAAAGTACAATTCTTGGAATCGACTGTTCCACTGTCCCTTAATCCTTTGTTCCCCATATTGTTGGGAGTCCTGCAGCATGCTGCACACGTTCCACTAGCAACAGGCAAGACGATGGATTTAGCAGTGGCTGGACAATTAGTCCCAATTAGGCCTATTTCTCAGCTGAATGTAAAGGGGTAGTGGGGTGAGGTGTGGGGGGGGAAACTACAGAAATTTTAAAGAAGTATTTCATCATGGAGGCAAACAATGCAACGTAAAGCAAACTGAACCAGGGGTCAGAAGACTCCGCCAAAAGTCACTGTGTGGCATTAGACAAATACCTTAACCTCTCTGTTGTTGTCCACAAAATGTGGGCAACCAACCACCACCCCTTAGATCTGAAGATCTCCTGTCAAATTATGGTTCAAAGTACTCTGAAAACTGAAAACGTTACACAGATGTAGAGTATTCCACTGAGCTGTATTTGGAACCACGTATACTCATCTCTTTTACAAATCATATAACTTTTATTCTCCCTGGGAGAAGTCATTAGTGACTTTCTTATTTTACTTCTATTTTCTTGATTGATAATTTTTTTAAATTCATGAGTGATACTTACATATGTACATGTGGCGGCTGGAATCTGCTCTGGTTGATGTTGTAGTGCGTGAATGCCTGGGTGGGGTTTGAGCTGTACTCATCCACCGTTATGGTAACTTTGCCTTGAGAAGGAATCCCATGAGCCATCCTTCCTCCCTATAGGCATGAGCAATTCACAACTTTCCGGAGCAAAGGATGGAAGCAGGCATGGTGTGTTTCAGCCAACCACTGAACCCAAGGATCTACACATCAATACCACTGTGCGTTTCTGGAAAAAAAAAATTATAAAATGAGAACAAAGAAAAAGAAGGTGTTTAAGAAATGTCAGATGTGACACCTGGACCTGCAATTGACTCAGGAAAAACCTTAATATGAGTTGTTGCCTCATGAATACAACCTTTTCCAACCCTCTATCCTGCAGGTACTTCAGAGTGGACACTGCACTCCATGTAACACTGCTGGCTGCTAGCAAATCACTTCAGCGGTGTTCAAACTAAGATTTCCTCTTTAATTATAATTATGGCACTTAACATGAATTACGGAAGGGGCATATCCACAGTTGCCATGGTGTCTCACTATAAATGGTTTGCACTCCAAGGAGAGAATCTTCCAAACCTTCCCTGCTAATTGGAATGTTTGGTCTGTACAGAGTTGATGTCATAGAATAATTTGAAATGTCAATGCTTAGCACAGCCATATAACACAATGACCAATGTAAATTTAAAATGCTGCACTCATAGGGGCGCCTGGGTGGCTTAGTCGGTTAGGTATCTGACTCTTGGTTTCAGCTCAGATCATGATCTCACGGTTCAAGGGTTTGAGCCCTTTGTTGGGCTCCGTGCTGACAGCTTGGATCCTGCGCGCTCATGCACACTCTCTCATAAAATAAATAAAATAAAATACAGTGCTGCACTTATAATAGATACCAGTGTGTAACTATAATATACACATAATATATACACATTACATATAATTTTTTCTTTCACAAGCATTCCCCAAAAACATAGGTGCTCAACTCCTGGCATACATATGTACTCCACTCTGGCCAAGAATCTTATGGTAAGGCAAGTCCTTCTTGCTAAATGTAATATAATTTCTTTAAATACTCCAGTCCCGTGGGGAAAAGTCAAACACATTTATGCTTTGACCACTACTCTAGATGCATTTATTAGGGCCTCTTTTATGAGCCCAAACAGAACACTGAAAGGGGGCAGCCATTATATCTACCATCTCATTCTTGTTTGATGCTGTATAATTCTTAGTTGGTTTCACTCTTTCAAAATTTCCATTAGTTTTTATTATTTTTTAATGTTTTTTATTTATTTCTGAGAGAGAGACAACATGAGCAGGGGAAGGTCAGAGAGAGAGGGAGACACAGAATCTGAAACGGGCTCCAGGCTCTGAGCTAGCTGTCAGCACAGAGCCCGACGTGGGGCTCGAACCCACGAACTGTGAGATCATGACCTGAGCTGAAGTCGGAAGCTTAACTGACTGAGCCACCCAGGGGCCCCTCATTTTTATGATTTTGATAAATGTCAGTATATTATTTGCTGCGCCGGGTTCACAAATGAGGATGCTTATTTCTACAGCAGGTGTGCAAAGACTGAGAAAGCAGATCTTGCACTGAGGCTGTTGCAATTGATCAATGCAATAGAGAAGAAACGGGTAGCATGTTCCTTCGGTAACACTTGGGCATAACCCATGCTCTTACTTTAAGTGCTCCACATCAGAATATGTTTGCAATGTGCCCCATTAAGCTCCGGGAATCTTAGCTGCTATCTCAAATAAAAATATTTAGAATAAAAAGATTAGGTTTAAATTTGGCATGAAACACCTTAAATATCAAGCAAAAGGCAGATGGCCTGCCATAGGCCATTTATTTTATTATTTTACAACCCGGGGGTTGTGTAGTCCTCCATATGCTAGCCGGGCTAAGAAATTCCACAGCATTCTACTCAAATCGTTGCCTTCTTCATATTAGCAAAGCAAGCTAAATAACACCCACCTTGCCTTCGTTCCTAATGCACAAGACCACTGCCAAGAGATGAATCCCTGGTGTTCTGGCATTTTAAACAAAGTGTCACTTTGGGTTCTCTTTCTTCTTCCTGACTTCATGGGAGGTAGAAGTCCTTTAAGCACCAGATGATAGACAACCAGGCCAGTAGGATTAACTAAATTAAAATCTTTCCCTGCTCCTTTGATGTAAGATATCTATGAAGAACTGCTTACAAATCATAATGTAGCAGTTTTCATACCAAGTTTGCAGCTGTTTCCTTAATTTCCCCCACAATTATATTTTACTGTTATTTTGCATAACAGTAAAACACAACACCTGCTTCAAATTGCAGTCCTGTTCTAAGTACTGTAATTCTCTTTTGAGACACAAAGTACTGAGACACTACTGAAGCGCAAAACTGCATAATTGCGCCACGCTGAAAAGTAAATACAAATGAAAACATCTTCCTGTTATAGAAATGACTGTCATTAAAAAGAATGTTAGCCATCAAAGCACAGAGGGAAAAAATATGCATTTTCAGACTGCGAGAACTTAGTGTTTGCATAAATTAAAGAGTGGTGTAAAAATTACATGGCAATTCTTACGTTCCTGCCATCAATGTCTATTGTGTGAAATACAGAGCATTAAGAAGCAAAGGAAACAAAATTCATGTCTATACCACTGTGCCCTCTCGATCACAATCTCTGCACTCTGTGCCACAACCAGTTTAAATATTTCTGGAGTAAACGCACTAATTATACTAAGCAAAACGGCCTAGAAATAAAATTTACACACCTATTATGTAAATATCTAGGCACTGACTTGTCGTTGTTAGCATTAGACTCTCCCATTGGAAGCAGAGAAGAGAACTTAGAAGGTGAACAATTCACAGTCCTAAACGGTCCAGTCTACCCTAAAGTCCAACCAGGATTGCCTTTTCTATCAAGTGAACATCTGTACCTCTTCCCACCTTTGCCCCAGCAAGACAAACAGAATATCTTTTCATCAGCAAGCACAGGCCCCTGTAACTCTGAAAGGCTAAATGGGTGGCTGGCACCTCATTTGAATTCATCTTCACCATGTTCTCTTTCAAATGTTTTATCGGAAGAGTGCACCTGCAGTGTCTATCTTCTTTAATCTGGAGTCCTTTGAAGAAACTGTCAGACTGAGGCAGCTTCAAAACTTTCACAGGAACCTTTACAGACAAGTCAAGAAAAGGCGTATTCTTTAAAATACTGTGTTCACCCCCCACTCACATCACAAAATGAACATATCCTAAGATATTAAACACCAACATATGGAAGACTTTTTTTTTCCTAGCAAATTCTCAGAGAGAGGGGACAATGGCCTCTCCTTTGGCCTGAAAAATTTGGAAAAAGCTTAAAACAAGGCAGAATGATAACATTGCCTAAAACTATCCAGAAGCTGATTCACGTTGCTTCACATATTTAAGCAATAAAATCTTCCAAATGATCAGGTTTTGGGGCATCTCTTCCTCTTTACACTTAACATCACTTTTTATGTATAATATTTAAAGAGAGCAGTATTCTTTTTTATTTTTAATTTTCATTTTATATGTCAGCACATTTGCTCCACAAAACTAAAGAACCTGGTACTAAATGCCAGGAATCCTAAAGAAAAATCTAAAAGGGACTGACACTGCCAAACATTCATGGTGATGCTAGTTTGATTTCCTCTTTAAAAAAAAAGTCATATGGGCTCATTTTGCATTTCCTAGACAGCAATCACGTCTCCGTCCCTTAAGCTATGCAACTTGCAATGTTCGTTTTCAGGAATCTAGTTGGAAAACCTTTTAAAGTCTGCTGGCAATGAAAGGATTAAAAGCTGGGGAGTTAAATAACTGTCTCCACCTCCTAGACACCAGAAGTCCAATTTACCAAAAGTTTCAAAGCAACAACTCATGACCTTTCTACCCGAGCCCGCACCGCACAGCCTATGAGAAAGGAGCCCGTGATTTCCTCCTTTAAACAAGGATGCTCATTTTATTCACTAGCCCTAGGATCGCCGGACCGCCTGGCCGGACTCTGGAATTCGCCTGCTCCAACTCCGCCAAATTTCGGTCTCTCCTCCCTCTGCCGAACGGATGGAGCGCTTTCTCAACTCAGGCCCCTCTCTTTTATGCCCACCTCCGTTTACTCATCCCTGCATCCCGGAGCGATGCCCACAAGCCTCCTGAGGCGTCTCCGCCAGGGTTTTGGGAGGGATGCACAAAGTTCCACGTGCCTCTGTCCACAGAGCGCCCTCCCTCCCGCCGCACTTATACCTGAACTTGTCTCCAGCACTGCGGACACCAGCCTGGCACATTCTTTCGGAGAGAAAGGGCAGGACTTTTCTCCTGCGCCTCTGGCAACGCGTAGAGCCTATATATGGTGGGGCGGGGGGCGCGGAATTCTCTACTTTGGATTGGTTTGTTTGTTTTAAATCTAGGGTGGGCAGTTGCGGGGGGGGGTGTCCTTCAGCAACTACACACACAGGCACACGCGCGCGCGCGCACACGCACAGGCACACGCTCGCCCTGCCCTCCCGGCTCACCGCCGGCTCCCCCGGGCTACAGCTCCCCCTTCCCGGAGCACCAGCTCGCCTTACTCGCTCAGTCCCCCGTTGCCACCACCGTCGCCTCCGCTGCCGCCGCTGGCACCGCTGGAGCCGGCGCTCGCGGCCCCGGGCTCCGCTGGGCGCCTGTCTTTCTCTCCTCTCTCTCCCCCAGCCCCAGATTGATTGATGACCACCAGCGGCCAATGGCTCTGACACCGCGCCATCCTCGCTCGAGCATCACAGCCCCACGCCACCGACGTCAGCCTCGCGGGCGCACGGGCATCCCCGAGCCCTCCGAGCCGAGCCGGCGCCCGGAGCCGTCCCCGCCGCCTCCCCGCTCCCTGCCCGACGCTGCCGGGCCGTTTCCTGTAGCAGCGGAGAAACGAAGGGAAGGAGCCAGCAAGCGTTGGAAGGGGGTGTGGAGGCTACGGATCCCCCCCCCCCTTTAGAAATCTTTTCTTTCCCTTAAAGTTTTGTTTGTTTTTTCCACCCCGACCTGTTTGTGTTGTTTGCAGCATCTCAAATCAATGTCACATTTTTCATCACCCGCATTTATACTTAATTTTGGGGTATGTTGGGGGTGGGTGGGTAAGAAGTGTTCTATAAATCTGCCCCACCGGGGCATCCTTAAATTCCCTTCTTGTTGGTGGATTCTAACTCCCTGCCCAATTTCTAGAAAAATGCCCCCTTCACCTCCTAGGCCGCAAAACGCCGGAATTCAAAGGCTTTACAAAGATAACCCTGATCCGTGCAAATAGGCAAAGAAACTCCTGCCTCTGCGGAGAGAAAATCGGGCGGCAACGGTTACTTTTTCTCGTCCCTGTTGCCCCGCCGCCCGGCCCGGGTCGCCGACCCGCTCCGCAGGCGGCGACCGTGGACACCGGAGGCGGTCGGGGACAGCGAGGCTGGGGCGCAGGGACAGGGTGAGAAGCGGCCCCGCGCGAGAGCGGCGCGCGCGCGGGCAGCCCCGGGGGCGGCCGCGGAGCGCAGACCCTGCACAAAGCTGAGCGGCGCCTCCCCGGCCGCCGCACCTCGCTCGGGCCGCGGCGGGCGCCCGGGGCTTCGGCCAACACAATGCACCCGGGCCTAGGCCGGGGCGGTTCGAACACACAACCCCGGGACTTTCTAGTAAACAGCTCGCCCTGTCCTCGTCCCCACCCCCATCCCCGCCGCCTAGCTTTCGCCGATGCCCCTCGCCGACACCCCCTTCAACCCTCCAGAGAAATCCCGGCGAAAGAGGGGAGCTGGAGGTGGGGACCCCGAGGGGTCCGGGGCTGAGTCCTGGGGGCGGCGAGGGGGGAGGGGAGGTGAGCAGAGGGGCGAGATGCGGAGTGGGAGGAAGACCGCTCCTGAAAAAGAATTAGCTTTCGCTCTGGGGTAGAAAATACGCCCTCCTCGGGTTCCGAATTGCCCTGGAAGCGCCCGCCGGTGCGAATGTCAGGAGCACCCGGGCAGCCGCGGTCCGCAGCCTCCGAGCCCCTCGCACGCGCCTCTGACAAGGCACCTCTCACCCGGGCTCCGCTTTGTGTGTGCATTTTTTTTCCCTTCCTCTCGCGCGCGGCACCGGGCGCCCGGCCGCCTCCTCCCCCTCCCCCGCCCTCCGCCTCCCTTCCCGGGGCGGATTACCTTTCCCCGGCTGCGCTCCGGGTCCCGGGGATGCCTTCAGCGCCCGACGAGCAGGCGATCCATCGTGGAACAGCCCGAGCCGGCGGGAGGCGCGCGGGGGGCGCGCGGGGGCGACGAGGGGCGCGCGCGGGCCAGAACCTTCGACCCCGGAGGTCCCGCCGCGGGCTGGGTCCGGGGACCTGGGGGCGCGGCACGGGAGGGGGTGGGGGGAGCAAGGACCGGAACAGCCTCGATCTGGGGAGAGAGCGAGCGAAGGGGCGAGGAGAGGGAGCGAGGGCGCGGCGAGCCAGAGGGAGCGCGAGCGGTGCAGTGACAGGGACTGCCACTGGGGTCAAAGGAGCACAGCTCCAGGAAGCAGGGCGGCTGAAGCGCCGCTCCGTGCGCGCTCCCCGGCGGGACCCCGCGCCCCCGCGCGCCCTTCCTGCAGCCCCGGCCCTCTAGAACCCGCACTGGCGCCCCGAGGCCCCCGGGGTTGCAAGAGCGGGAGGGAACTGAGGGCGAGGCCGGCAGCCTGCTGGTGCTCTCGGGTCAAGCAGGCAGCAGGAAGCAGAGCCGCAAGTTCATCATCAGGAGTGTGATCAGCGTAAAAATGATAGGGGACTGGGGAGGGGGACGGCTACGGAGCCCCAGAAAAATAAAGGGAGTTTTCCCTCCAAATGGGCGTCTTCTGCAAAGAGAACACCCAGACACCCCCCCCCCGCCCCCACCCCTCAACCACCGACCTGCCTGGCGCTGTCTGGAGTCCTGGCACAGCTCCAGGGCGCCGAGCTCGCCGCGGGGGCAAGGGAGCGGCTTGGGCACTGGGCTCAGACCAAGGAAGGCGACCCTGGGTCCCCTCCCATCTGCTGAGCTTAGGCTTCCCGGGGTGGGGGGGTTGGGGGGGGGAAGAGCTGTGCTCTCTTTCCTCAAGCCTTTCAACTCGCCAGATTCACACACACACACACACACACACACACACACACACACACACACAAACACACACCTTTCTCTCTGCAATGTTGTTCCTGAGAAAGAAAAGGCCAACACAGTTGATCATTTTTTTCACCTCCACCAATTAAGGCAGGTTCAGAATAGGGAGGTGAGGAGACGCAAAGACTCTAATTGTTTTCATTTTGTCCATTTTTTTGTCTTGGGGGCACATATTCCCCAAACAATAAGCACTTCAAAAACATTTTAAAAATCAAAGTTCGTCCTCTGTTTCCTGCTACTTTGGATAATGGAAAAGAAGACTTAAAATTGTATGCAAGCAACCTAATAAAAGGAAAAGCAGCTGGAATACTAAAAGAAGACAAGAAAGAGAAGCCTTTTAGAAAACTTGGTTGGGACTGTCTGTAAAAGATGAGGTGGCCCTGTGATGTTATGCTCTTGTCAGAGCTGAAGGATTTGGACTGCAACCAGATATAATTCCTTTCCAGGAGTCAGACCCAAAGATCTAGGCATTGTCCAAAGGGAAATCCAATGGGTGTGTGCGTGTGTGCATGTGTGTGTATGTGTGTGAGAGAGAGAGAGAGAGAGAGAGAAGTGTGCTAAGTATACTATTTGACAACTGACTAGACATCCTGGCTGAAATTATATCCCCTAAAAATAAAAAGGAGCCATTTCAACCTGGTCTGTGGCCTCTGTGCTGAGACTAATTGGTTTCCAGGGTCTGGGAAGGAAGGGAGAGAGGCTGGTAGGAGCCCCTATAAAAAAAGATCAAACGGAATTCGCTTGAAAATATTTCCCTTTTACAATGGGCTTTCCTGGCACTTGAATTTTAAGTAACCTATCTCTTATGCCTGAGCTGAAATGAAGGGAGAGATGGTCTTGCTAATAAATTTATTTTGTTGTACAGTATGCCCAGAGTGTCAGTACTTGTCAAATGTTCTGAGATCAAGAGGACAGTGATTCTCCTTGCCCAGCACAAATCACAGCAAGTGGCATTGACATTAAAGATGGCAAAGATGGGGGGAGGGTGGAGCACCTTTAAATTTAGTTTTTGTTTTCCAGCCCAACAGCAAACACTGACTAGAATCATGTTGTTGAAGAAAGGCTTGGTTTTGTTTCCCTTTTCCTATGACTTAGCAGTGCACTCCTCTTATTTAAATGGTTTGAATTCCTTCATTGATTTGGACTGAAACAGCCCCTCCCCAAAAAAAAGCAGCATAAACCTTTTAAAAAAAAAAACTGGTAGTCAATCAAAGCAGCCAACTTAAATTTGTATGTGAACCTGAATCTGTATACGTGCACACAGATAATAAATAATACTGTGTTCTACTTTAGTGGCACATTTTGCAGGATATTTAATGCTATTAAACACAAGTGAGTGATATTTTATGAAGTTGATGAAAATTTGTATATCATTTTACTGTGTGGGGGAAAATTGGGGCAAAAAAATATGCTTGAATTTGTAGCTTATAGTACAGGAAGAAGTTAACCTCTACTCTGTCCCTGATGATCAATTACCCACCAAGGGAAGTAGTGACCAAGCTGTATGAGAGCTATGAATTTTTATTTCTATCAGGCTACCAAAATAAAGAAGCTGGGAAATAGAAGTAAATTTAAATAATAAATCAGGAACAAAAGGAACTCACTTTTCAAATAATTCTCATTACATGGATTTGAACATATTGTATTTTGTTAAATCATATTCTCCATCAATATAGCCACCAACACTAAAAGCTTGTTTTAAAATGATTGGATGTGAACCGTGTCTGTCCCCTGACATCAGCTTTGAAACATCGAGCTTCATTATAGCAAATTTGAAATGCTATAGGCTGGGACTTTTTTTTTTTTTTTTTTTTAAGATAAGTGAGCCTATAAGCTTCATTTTTTTGTCATTGTTAAATTCAATTTTTATTGTTTATAATGGAAAACAAAAGAAGTATAAAAATAAAATGCCAAGTTTATGATTGCCTTTATGCAAATATTACAAATTTTTTCCTTTAATGGAATGTAAATTTGGACCCTTTCTCCAGTGATTTCATCGAAGGAACTGGCAAGTATGCTCCCTGATAGCCTGCTGCAATATCTTTTAAAATATCTCTTCAGAATGCATTTAGGGAAGAAAATGAGAGAGTGGAGCGTGGGAGAACTTTATGTGGAAGCTTGGAAAGTGGATGCTACTTCCCTTGAAAGCTTAATACTTTATTTGGCATTGGCTCGCATTTTCCCTATTCCCTATGAGGACAGGTTTGCCAGTACTTCAGGGACACATGTGTAACATAAACCTTGGTGTAATCCTATGGTTCTTCTTCAGAAAAGAAATTATGGAAACTACTACATTTCATTGAATAATTGTATTGAAGTTAACTAACTCTCAGAACAAATAGCAACTATTGTGCTTCTTTTTCTTTGAATTTTCTGCATTTTTATCATTTTCCAGCAAGGTACTATAGGTTATCAGAAATCGGAGCCTGTTAATAGAACTACCAGTATGATGCAATTTGAAAAAATCTGAGCCAACAAACATCCTTACTTTGTTCTTAATTCCTATAGTTTTTACATTTTTTACTTGTTTCAAATGTTTTTGCTGTAAACCCCTCAAGTTTAAGAACCATGCCATTTATTCCTTTGTGTCCTTTGTTCTTATGTGCTGTGTACATGTAGAAACTTGGAAATACTTATTAAATGACTGTATGGGTCAATGAATTAGCAAGTGAGTAAGAGAAGGCAAGAATGAAGGAGACAATTATACAATGGAGGAAAATCCATACCAGATATGCAGGAACGGAAGTGATGTCATGAAACTAGTGTCAGAAGATAAGAGCTAAGGACTTCTCATGGATTGCAAATAGTACATTTAAAGGGGTTTGCTAATGTCTTTGGAAACATGAAATAATACATAAAATGTTTAAGAAATTTATTTTCTCATAGAGAAACTAAAGATTATTATGTATACCTGTTTAAAGATAACCTTTTTTAAGTATAATAAGATGCAAAAAAAAAATCCCAAGTAAAATTTGTATCTTAAAATTTATAGAGATAATGCAGCAAGATGTAGTCTCAAAAGAAACTTATTGTGATTAACTTGATTTTTTGATAGATCCTTTCTGAAGTTCTCAAAATAAAACATAATGTGTTTCATCCTTTGTATTTAAAATTTCCTTTCGGTTAACCAATAAAAATGCTTATGACTGAGAATGTTTCAGGAAACACTAGAAATGAGGAAATTTTGTTTCATAAAAGAAATTTTTAAGGCATGATCTTAGAAAGGCTAAACTTTGCCAGCAGTTTAAACAGTAAAGAGGGAAGGAGTGCAAATGTTAAAATTTTGCAAAACTCCCTAATTCTTACCCTGCTTACTAGCCAATGTCTAGCATGTATCAACAAATCAGACAAGTATTACTTATACAATAATAATGTTTAAAATTAATTTAAAAAAATCTGAAAAGATCCTGAGTATGTGTGTGTTTTCCACCTTAACAGACTTGCATGATCTCTGTTATCAATTAATATTTGCCTTTTTTTTTTTCCTGTATCATGATCCTAATTCTGGAAAAGTAGTGGTAGAATTTAGTGGTGCTTGGGATAGGCTGGTCATGGTGGAAAAGCATTCTTATTGAAGTAAAAGCCAAAGTAATTTTTGAAAGATGGGCATGTGGAAAACCCATACTAACCTGATTAAAGAAAATGTATGTGGAGGATTTCAATTTTAATAATTCAATTTGACAAGCTAGTATAGGATATATCAATGTTTTGAGTAAGCAACATATAATGTAATGTTCCTTCTTAGCAAAAATAAGTGAATGAATACATTTTTTAAACACTGAGTTTGAGAGACAAGCAGAATCTAAAACCATTTCTCTCTGTATTCTTAATGTAATGGTTTGATTAGTTAACAAATATTTTTTAATCTTTGCTCTAGGCAGAATACTCATACCATGCTGATGGTCTAAAGACGCAAAAAGCAGAGTTTTATCCCACATTATAATGTACATAATTTCCTGGGCCTGGGCAGTCTGATATTAAGTAATCACACAGATAAATACAAATCATATCTACAAAAAGAAGAAGCAGCTGGTATAAAAGGAAAAAAGACTTTTTCTCCTCTGGGTTTGAGTGAAGACTTCCCCGGTGGAGGAAGGGAATACAGGAGATCACAGGAAAAAGAGAAGCAGTGTGGTGGGTGCTCAGTGAGGGATTGCATGGTGCCCATGAGAAAGGTCTGGATCTGTATCTGCAAACAGAGGCCAGAACTGAAGGGCCAAGCTAAAATCATTTGAAGGTCACAGCTAAGGCCCCGTTCAAGATGTTTGACTTTATCCTGAGGGCAACTGGAAGCTGTTTAAGGATCTTAA